TCCCCAGTTCTGAGGAAGCGTCACCGGACCCGAAACGTTAACTCTGTTTTTTCCTTCACAGATGCTGCCAGACCTGCTGAGCTTTTCCAGCAACTTTGTTTTTGCTCCTGATTTACAGCATCTGCAGTTCTTTCGGTTTTTAGTTAACGTTTCGAGTCCAGTATTTTCATATCGCAATAACATTCTTGTTAAGAAGCAACAATATTTAAAAAGCACAAGAATTTTTACATACCAGTTCCTAGTCCTACTTTTACATTGTGATTCAAAGCATTTCGGACATCAAATAAGCCACTGCTAAGTCTAAAAGATAAAAAGAAAGAGGAATGATGTTTCCATATCCTTGACAAACAAGTTTGTCTTCTAAACTGGTTTTTACAACGCATAGACTTGACTGTAGTCTTCACATCAACTGGGTTCTGAGGAAGGGTCACTCGACCTGAAACGTTAACTCTAATTTCTCTCCAGTGATGCTGCCAGACCTGCTGAGCCTTTCCAGCAATTTCTGTTTTTGTTTCTCGTTTCCAGCATTCGCAATTCTTTTGGTTTTTATCACTATGATACATCCCACTCTTGAAGAGCACTCTATCTTAAAGCTAGGTATTGTCATAAAAACAATAGGGAATTCAAAAGAAACTTCTTTCCTTTGAAAGTCTTGAGAATGTGGAACTCAATTCCATTGGGAGTGATTGAGGTGAGTACTTGAGATGCATTTAAGGGGAAGTGAGGCAAAAATGTGAGGTGAAAGGAATAGGACGATGTGCTGATTAAGTGAGATAAGGTGATGACAGGGAATGCATAAGGAAGTTAGTGTGGAGCATTACTGCCCATCTTATACCTGTTGGACAAATGGTCTGTTTCTGCGTTGAAAACTCTGATGTAATCCAATGTAAAAATCAGCCAAAAAACTGACAAAATTTAAAATCTTTGAGATTCTAGACCTGCATCTCTAGTTAGAATTTCCAACCATCAGGAAGGGAGAGAGGTGGGAATCCGGCTTTTGCAGTCCCGGACAATGCAACAATGTTAAGTCCTGGTCTGAGAGAACCCCTTCTGCCTTTCTACCCATGATTCCATGAGACAGGAGGTCATAGGGCACAGACAGAGAAAGCTGGGACCCAGCCTCACCAATTTGAATATTCAGCTGGCCTGCTACTAGAAGAAAAATCTTGCATTTATCGTGCACCTTTCGCTACCTCAGGATAACCCAAACTGCTTCACAGCCAAGGAAGTCCTGCTTTGAAGAGTTGTAACCACTATTGTAATGCAGCAAACTCAGCAGCCAGACAACAAGCTTCCAAGGACAGAAATGCAATAATGACCAGGGATGCTGTTTGTTCAAATTGGTCAGGACACACAGGGAACTCCCCTAGCCTTCTTCAGAATGTTAACCATCTGAGGGGCCTGAAGTGATTTGATTTAATGTCCCACCAGCAAGTCAGCACCTCGAACATTGCAGCACTCCCTCTGGACTGCACTAGAAGATTGGTCCTGGATTTTGTGCTTAAGGGCCCACTATGCTAAGATTTACAACAGGAACACAGTGCAGATATCTGGTCCGGGTGTATCAATTTCTGTGATTGCATACTTACGAGATGTTTGAATTTGGACAGTGTGAAATGGCTGCTCCTTTTTGTTGGAAGACTTTCAGCTCTTCATTGGACAGGTACACTCCATGTGCCATGATTGTCTGTGTGAAAACATTGTTTGTGACTGCCAGTTAATGATGAAAGGCTCATTTAACTACAGTCAGCGGCATGGGAGATATCCAGGTGAAAGTACTTAAAAGAACAGAGAGACTGATGAAACAACTGGAGAGGCTAGAATAAGAGGATGTACATGGTGAGAGTATAGAGGTGATGTAGTTAGCCACACCACAAAGAATCATGGGTATCTTCCTCCATTAGAGACAGACAATCAATCAAATATAGCTGGAGGGGTACTAAGTGTCAGGTATGGGGAGGTGGCAGGGCCTTCAAGAAATACAGACAGAACAGGGCTTGAACCCACACTGTTGAGTTTATTCTGGGCCACACTCTAGTCTCTAACTGAGCTAATCAACTACCAGAACCAGGAGAGAGAAAAGGACAAACAGTGAAAGGGACAGAGAGAGGGTGAGAGAGAAAGAGAGAGAGAGGGATGGGGAGACAGAGAGATAGACAGATAGGCTAAAAGTGTGGAAACCATCTCTTTACATGAAACCATAATGTAATCCTGCTGGATTATAGGGAGAGTAATTATAGGCTTAGTTGAATGGCCCTTTCAATGAACTAGAACAGATATATTGGATACAATTACCTCCTTCTGTAATGAATCATTGTATAATTCAATAATAGAACACTATCAGGAAAAAACCATCTAATCCTCAACTCCACAACCATGTCTCATTGTACCATAATACATACGCTCATCACCCAATCAAAGCCCTAAACTCTTGGTAAAGAAGTAGATTAATAAATTCAGGTCAACTGGGGAATGAAGACTCTGGGTAATTCCTCACCAATTCCAAATGCCTCCCCACCAACACATCCCTGGCCCCACACCTTCCCCCTTCCCTTCCCCTGGACAATGTAGAATCAGTCCAGGACAGTCACTTTGACCTTGAGTAGTACATATCCTTTTACAGAAGGTCATGTCTATCTAATCAGAAACAGATTTGTCCCAAATAATAAAAATGGAAAACAAGGCAAGCGGAAGACTAGGCACAAAGAAAATCATAAATAGCAGAACAAGCCAAAACATAAAAGACAGCTCAAAAAAGTGCAATGCTACAGGAACTCAGCAATGTTTGTCCCATTGTTTATGAATAGTGTGAGCAGTATGAAAACCTGCACAGGTCATTATAGAACCCATCTCATTCAGAGGCATTGCTTTACTGAGAACAAGTTGAAACACACTTAACTCTCTTGTTTTAACATCATGTTCTGGTGAATATAATATGACAAAACAGAATCTGGGTGATAGGAGATGGGTGTGAGCGAAGGGGGACAGGGATGAGGGGGCAGGGGTGGTGGTAGGGGCAAATGGCCTACGTTTGTTCCGGCTCCTATGTTCCTATGAACAGAGCAAAACCTGAGGCTAGGTTCTGACCAGGCCTTGGTACCTCTTTCTCTGCTTGTCAAAATATCTTCCAGGGTGGCAGACGGAGGGAGAGGCTGGGAGGTGATGCATTCCTCATCGAACTTCCCCCATTCACCACCCAAAGCTGGTACTCCAGTAAAAGAATATAATATAAAAGTGAGATTTGGTTTACTATCTCACCGCTCAGAACTGCAGGACATGTTGCAGCTAGTTAAATACTTCTGGACTTCCATCACCATTATGACATAGCTAATGTATCAGACAATTTGTGCACAGCAAGACCCTATAAACATCAATGTGATAACAATTGAAAGATCTGATTTTAGTCGTATTGGTTAAGGGATAAACATTGGGGAAAGCTCCCCTGATCCTCTGCAATATATTGACCATGGGATCTACTCAACCCAAATGGGAGGACAGGCAGGACTCTGATTCAAAAACTGTGACAGTGTAGCATTTCTTCAGTATTGCACTGTGAACATCAAGCTAGATTTTTAGTACTTAAGTGTTCAGAGGAGGACTCAAATCCACAGCTTTCAGTTCGAGTCAGACGAGCTATTTGCTGAACTCAGGCTGACACCTAAGCAGTAGAAATAGCTGGAAACAGCCATGCCTGTATTCTAGCTGAACTATTGGGCCTGTTGTTGGACATGTGGGCTTGGAGTGCATACACATGAAGGATAACAGATGTCTCAAGAATTGCTTTAAATGATAGCTTGAAGAAAAAGAATGTGGCATCGTGCACGAACCTTATCAGTTAAGAGGCTGTGTCTGTCGTAAAGATCAGTGTAATTCTTGCAGTCTGGGAACAAGCTCTTCACAAGCTCCACTTCGGCACGGGACTCACTTATGTGACTCTGTTTATAAAATATAACAAGTCTGTTTGTTTCTTGACGGCATATATTTGTGCTGCAATGAAATTCTTCAGTCTCTGAAGCACGTGTTATGAACTTTAAAAGATAGTGCAAAGGTTGCTTTTTCCTCATAGAATCCTTATAGTGTGGAAACGGGCCCTTTGGCCCAACAAGTCCACACTGACCCGCAGAGCATCCCACCCAGACCCATCCCCCTGTAACCCACCTAATCTACACATCCCTGAACACTATGGGCAATTTAGCATGGTCAATCCACCTAGCCTGCATATCATTGGACTGTGGGAGGAAACTGGAGCACCCGGAGGAAACCCACACAGACACGGGGAGAATGTGCAAACTCCACACAGACAGTCACCTGAAGGTGGAATCGAACCTGGGTCCCTGGTGCTGTGAGGCAGCAGTGCGAACCACTGAGCCACTGTGCCACCAGACTTTATCCAAACTTTTCCTGTCATTGGTTTTGTTGTATAAGGTGTTGGGCTCTGAAAATGTTAATGCCAAACATTGTAATGAGCACCACTCACTATGATATGTCATACAGACTTGCGTGGGAGAACAGCCCTGGATCTTGGAGGAGATAAACCTATCATCAAGATCTCCCTCATAGTCTGGGTAACAATGTCCAGCCTATCAATGTAACTTGTTGTCATGCAATAAACCACATCTTGTTAAAGACAACATAATTGCATTAAGCTACCTCGTGGCTTTCTTCTAGACAGTAGCACTTTAGATACTAATCTAATAGATGAATGATGGCAACAAATCCACCTGATGGCTCATTCACTGAAGTATCTGCAGTGAAGATCCATCACATAACATGGTAAGCAGTGGGGCAGGATCCAGTGAGATTTCAGCAAATCTTCAGATGCAACTTTAAGAAGGCTAATGACAATGGGCCAAGGTATATGACCATTCAGGGACAGGCATGCTAAATGGGGCATGAAACATATGATATCCTCACCACTTTATCCCAGATTAAATGGTCCCACCTAGAAAATGGTTTGCAACGTTACATCACTTGTACTTAAGTGTAAGATAACAGAACAAGTTTTTGTGTTGCCATGTTACATAACAGAGCTACTGCTCTGGATATGGGGTGACCATCATCTGCAGAGATCATGTCAGAAGGTAAGTGAGAATGATCTTGCTAAACTGCAACCTTTTCAAATTCTCTGAGATGCAGGACGCACTTCACAACAAAGAGTGGAGAATTAAAATGGTGCATGACCACCGCACATGTGCATAGCTAATTCAACTACACCTGAGACAAAAGATCAGAGTCACACACTCCCACAAAGGGAACATGGTTATGTGCAAAGGTGTCTAAGGTTTTCAGTGGACCTAGATCTTATAAAACCACAACATCAGAGACAGCAAAATTGAGGACGGACAGAAGCCAGTTAAAGGAAGTGCACAGCAAATAATCCAGGCAATGCTGGTATGATGGAACACTAGGACAACAATCAACACAATGATGACATGACTGCAGAACAAAAACAACCAAAGGCGAAATCCACTCTTCCAGAAGGTAACATGAAAACAAGGTGTGGAAGTGTTAGCAAACCACTAAGTGAAATATGATTGTTTAGACATTTGTGCTTATAAATTTTACAAACCATATCTCTATACAAATAATTTTGCTATTAACCAAAGTTTGTGTGTTTTCACTTGTCGCACTTGAGAGTAATCTTTGGAAAGGAAGAAGATGAGTGCTATCACTTTAAGAGTGATGTCCTATCAAGAGGCTGAACATGCAGATAAGGGAAGTGCCTCAATGTCATTACAAGATCAGGACCCATAATCACTCTGCATTATAGCACATTAGGCAAAGGATGAGCCTCGAGATTACTGTCTTATTACTTTTGCCACAAACAACCACACCAGACATCTTTGAATTTTTTTACGTCAACCCGTTCACATATGCTATGACATACATTCTTAGCAAGTGAGAACTGAACCCATACCTTCTGGCCTAGAGTTAGGGACACTACCATTGTACTTCAAAACTCCACTAGTGATCGTCAAGTAAGCAAAAAGCATGTACAACGTTTAGTTAACAAAAGAATATACTACAGCTTTTAAGGAGCATCTTTAAAAAGAAGAGGGAATTAGAGAGGAAGAGAGGTTTACGAATGAATTTCCTGAGCTTAAGGTCTGAACAGCTGAAGGTACAGCCATCAATAGTGGAACAATTAAAATCAGACATGCACAAGAGGCCAGAATGGGAAGCACAGAAATCTCAGATTTACTGGGGTCTCTAGAAGTTACAGAGATAGGGAGGAGAGAAGCCATGCGGTGATGACAGACCTGGAACAAATGTAGGTCAACAAGCACATAGATGATAGGTGAATAGGACTTGTTGAAAGTTAGAATATGGGCAGCAAACATTTTGAATGAACTCACAATTATGGTGAGTGGTAAGTGGGAAACTAGGACTACTTTGAAATGATCAAGTCTAGAGGTAACAAAGACATGGAAAATGAGATATAGTCAGACAGAAACTGGCAATATTGCAGAGTTGGAAGAAGGTGGAAGTAAGTATCACTTACTTGTGACTTCTATATGATTAACGTGCAGAGCAACAGAACTAATTCCATGGAACTCATTCAATTTTTCCATCTGAGATTAACATAGCTCTTCGGATGCTGTTAGCAGCAATTTTGGAATTGACATGAATGCAAATGGTTGATGATCATTATGTTTTTGCTCAAGTAAAATTACGAAGTGCTTAGAGTAAATAAAGAAAAATTGATAACAATGACTGAAGGATCAATAACCAAATGAGACAGAAGAACCAGAGATAACACAAGGAAACCCCTTTACTTTTATGCAAATGTGGTTAGGATTTGGAATGCACTGCCTGGGGCTCGTGAACATAAATGCACCAATAACTTCTAAAAAGGAAACTGGATGCACTTTGACATTAAAAATTGCAAGGCAGTGGGAAAAGAGCAGAGGCTTAACATAAACTGGATTGCTCCGTGAGAGAGCTATCACAAAGTTAATGGGACAAATTGCTGCCTTTTGTACTGTAATAATCTAAACTTTTGTAAGTTACAGATAACAAGGTTAGAACTGGATGAACACTGTGGGCCAGGCACCATCAGAGGAGCAGGAAAGCTGACATTTCAGGATGTGTTCATCCAGCTCTACACTTTGTTATCTCAGACTCCAGCATCGGCAGTTCCTACTATCTCTTTTATAAGTTACAGTCCAGTTTAAACAGGCACATTTTAAGGATGTGCCTGTTTGCCTCATTGCTACACCATTGAAGCGAATCTTGATTCTCTTATTCCTTCAGATTCTAGAATTGAATGTTGAAACTATTCATATTTGTTGCAGCAAAGTAGGAAACCAACAGTGTTTTTGAAACACGTTAAATTCTCCCTGATATTTGTGATGGCAGTACCTGAATATGCAAACCCTCACTGTTTGCATATGACCCCAACTGTTGCATTAGTTCAGAAGAGCAGCTAGGCACAAAACGAGGAGTCACAATGGGTTTTACCAGAGGGTACTGGAAACAAAAAACAAACATTTGCATTTAGCACTGTTCACACACACACACACGTGAGGAATTAATTTCCTAAACATCTGAAGTACATTTTTCTACAATAATTAAAACTGAAAAATGCTGGAAATATTTAACAGGTCAGGCAGAATTTGTGGAGTGAGAAACAGAGTTAACGTTTCTGAACTTTCATCAGACCTGGAAGACATTGGAAACATAACAGGGTCGTAAGTAGGTATAAATGGGAATAGCAGAGCCACTAACAGCACATGGTGTCTGAAAAACAGGAACAGTAGTTCTGAGATAGTAGGAACTGATCTGAGATTGAACTCAAAGTTGAGTCCACAAAGCTGTGAAGTGTCTAATGGAAGGATGAGGACATTTTGCTTGAGTTTATGTTGGATTTCCCTGGAACAGTGAATGAGGCCAACAACAAAGAGGTCAGAATGGGAGTGAGGTGGGAAATTAAAATGACTGGGGACTGAAAGCTTAGGATCAAGCTGGTGGACTGAATGGACGTGTTCTGTAAGATGACCCCCCTCCTAACCTCCTAATCTGCACTTGGTCTCCCTCATGTATTGGGGAGGACATCATGAAAAGGGGATACACAATACTAATGGCCAGGCAGCATCAGAGGAACAGGAAAGCTGGCGTTTCGGGTTGGGACCCTTCTTCAGAAATTTTTTTTTTTGTGAAGAAGGGTCCCGACCCATAACGTCAACTTTCCTGCTCCTCTCATGCTGCCTGGCCTGCTGAGTTCCTCCAGCTCCACACTGTGTTATCTCAGACTCCAGCATCAGTGGTTCTTACTATCTCTACACAATACTAATGTTCTATTTATACTTTGTGAAAAGTGTTTACCAATCTCCTGAGCCCTGTCAGTTCGTGTAATGTTAAATCAGAACCATGCATCGTCAGCACAGTGGCTCAGTGGTTAGCACTGCTGCTTCACAGCGCCAGGGACCCAAGTTTGGTTCCACCTTCAGGTGACAGTGTGGAGTTTGCACATTCTGCCTGTGTCTTTGTGGATTTCCTCCGGGTGCTCCAGTTTCCTCCTACAGTCCAAAGATATGCAAGTTAGGTGGATTGGCCACGCTAGATTGCCCATAGTGTCCAGGGAGGAGCAGGCTAGGTGAATTAGCCATGGGAAACGCAAGGTTACAGGGACAAGGTGGATCTGGGTGGAATGGTCTTCAGAGGGTCAGTGTGGACTCAATGGGCCAAATGGCCTATTTCCACACAGTAGGGATTCTATGATTCTCAGTCAGCTGCTGCTGATCATTATTCTGCTTTTGTCACTTACATCTCCTCTGGATATCTTTTGTTTCTTCACTAGCTCTATTATTATCTCGTCTGCCTTGCATCATCATCCCTCCGGATATTTATTTTCTTGTGACTTCCAGCATACCTTCACCCCGCACTCTTTTAAAAACCCCATCCCCTTGTCTCTGTTTGAGGTTACAACCTCTTCCTGTTCTTTTCTTTGTTCTGATGAGGAGTTTTCAAGCTGGAATCATAGAGTCACACAGCAAGGAAACAGCCCAACGCCTCCATGCCGACCAGGTTTCCTAAACTGAACTAGTCCCATCTGCCCGCACCTGGCCCATATCCCTCTAAACCTTTCTTGTCCATGTATATTTCCAAATATCTTGTAAATGTTGTAATTGTACCTGCTTCTAACACTTCCTCTGGCAGTTCATATTATAGACACTCCACCCTACTCTGTGTGAAAAAGTTGCTCAGGTCCTTTCAAACCTTTCCCCTCTCACCTTAAACCTATGCCCTCTAGTTTTGGACACGCCCCTCCCCCCCACTACCCTGGGGAAAAGATCTTGGCTGTTCACCTTATCTAAACCTCTCATGATTTTATAAACCTCTATAAGGTCAACTGTCAGCCTCCAATGCTCCAGGGAAAAATGTCCCAGCCTGTTCAGCCTCTCCTTTTGGCTCAAACCCTCCAATCTTGGTAACATCCTTGTCGATCTTTTTTGCACCCTTTCCAGTTTCATAACATCCTTCCTGTTAGTCTCATGGTGAAGCTGTTTTAGTCTGGAGAATTGTACTTTCTGCATGGGCCTCTTGCCTTAGGGACCTGTCAGCACTTTTCAGTTATCAGAACACATGAAGGTGACCTCTTAGTAAGCCACATCCCGTAGGACTGCAATGGAACAATGGCATTTTCTGGATCTACTGCTAGTCTGTAAAAAATATCAATGTTGGTAAGATTCTGTTCATTGGCTCTGATTATCTCTCCAAACATGCTGCCAAACCCAGGAAACGTTTCCATCATTTTCTATATTTATTTCAGATTTCTAGCATATACAGTATTCTGCTTTGAGTCAAAAGTATACACCAAATTATATGTACACTGACATTTCCAATTGCTCAGACATTTAAAATATTTAGGTTAAAAGGGTTTGGCTTACCATCCGTCCAGTTAGTTCAGTAACAAATCTGTGAATGACAACAACAGTTCAATGCCAGCATCTTATATTGCTGCGTCTAATGTAAGGTATATCTTGGGCACCCAATAACCAATTACAACATGTGTAAACATTTCTTAAGTCAGAAGATGCCAATCATTATTGAATTTAGCTCACTAATAGTGGTCAGCAATAAATCCAGAGCCCCATTGGAGTGAGAACATTTGAATGGGCTAACATCAGTCTTGACAATAGCATACCGAAGTGTGCAGTGTTCATGCTGTAAATGAATGTGCTACAAAAACACCGTTATGCATGGATGATCTATGATTGTCCTAGGCCTTAAACTCTGGAATTCCCTCCCTAAACTTCCGCTTAACTGATTTATTATGTTCTTCAAACCCTACCACAATGAAACTACAGGTCACCTGTCCTAATATTGCATTGTGTGCCTCAGTCATTTTTTTTTGTTTGAAAAGGGTTCTGTGAAGTACATTGGAACATTTCACTATGTTGCAGCTACTCTATAAATGTAGGTTGTAACTGAATTACCTGCAGATTATTCGCATTAACAATCAGCAGGTCCAGTCTGTTGCCCAGCAATCTATAACAAGTAAGCTGCGAGTTTCTGGACTCATGGCTTGTCTCTACATGTCTTTAAATACCCAAAGCATTATGGAAGGCCCAGATGAAGAAGGGAATGGTAACTCAATTACCTACTTCTATTCCAATGTTCCCATCTACCTAGTGCAACTGCAAACTCCGTTCTGATCGTGTGGAAATGCATCAGAAATCCAGGGGCAACTAAGAGGAAGTAGGAATGTGACATGAGACAGCTCTTCTCCTTATTTATCTAAGGGAGGTGACTCACTCACTAGAGACACTAGAAAAATAGCCCCTTTCCATTCTTTTGGTCAGTAACAATCGAAAAAGTAATAAATTGCTGACAGTCACAACTGAGGTGAATTCTCAGCGAGGATTTCACTGTTTAGATTTCATAAAGTGACTACAACACTGAGAGGAACTTGTTGGATAATGCTGTGTTAATGATGCATTCCGTTATTAAAGAGCACATCACCCAGAAATGAAGAGATATACGGTGATTTGTGATTGCTGGTTGATTTACTCTACTTTTTAAACAAATCATTCATAGGTGTGGACCAGCGTATATTCTCAATTCGTAATTGCCCTGGAGAAGGTGGCAGTGAAATGATTCCTTAAACCGCTGCAGTCATTTGGTGTAGGAACACCCACAGTGCTGTTTGGAAGCATGCTCCAGGATTTTGACCCAGCAACACTGAAGGAATGGTGATACAGTTCCAAGACAGGGTGGTATGTGGCTTGGAGGGGAACCTGCAGGTGGTGGCGGTATTCCCATGAATCTACTGCCCTTGTCGTTTTGGGAGGAAGTGGTTGTGGGTTTGGAAGGTATTGTCTGAGGAGCATTGGTGAATTACTGCAATACATCTTGCAAGTGATACACACTGTGTACTCTGTATCAGTGAATAGATTTAAAATACAACATGTTTTTAATGTTTAAAAATTACTTTGTTACTTTTTCCTTATGTTTTCTTTTTCCCCTCTTGTGATCCAATTTTTTTTTGCTCTTTATTTTTGTTTCTATAATGGATTTGACTTAGATTTACGCGCCCCCCCCCCCCCGACTTCTTTCCCCATCATTCACCTTTCTCCCTTCTCAAAGATTCAGTCTCCCTGGTTAGGCATAAGATGTTGGCCCTATCATTGAGGTTACAGGGGCCCCAATTTCCTTGTCGTGCTGTTAGCAGCTCATTTTCCCAGTACATTACAGAAAATTTTCCAGCTGAAGGTTATAGGAAGGAATCAAACTAACTGCATGCACTGCATAATAATCCACTCCAACAGGATCTTATCCATTACGAGGAAACCAAGTCAATACAGTTTGGAGCATCTTCAGCGTGGTTACCATGGCTACACGACTGCGTCAATGGAAGCAAAACAAATGATCGTTTGTTTGAAACTTGCAGTACTCAATAATGCAGAATGCTTCATTGAAAGAACCTTACCTTCTTGTCTCACACACAGATTCGCATAGCTGTTCCTTGTACGTAGGAAACAAGTTATTAAGATCCATACAAACTTTACCTACAAAAGCACGCTGGCCCATTTTATCTGTGCAAAACAAAAGAAAATCCACATTGTATGTTCACAGCTTTGTAACAAGCAGAAATGTCTATCATTTTGT